TCTCCTTTCGGAGAGAAGAAGGGGTTAGGATTTGACTTCCCTTGAACAACAGACCGTCACAGACAGTGAGTTCGTCCCGAAAATTGAAGTAGGGTGTTAACTCCTTCGGGAGCTGCTTCTTTGTTTCTGGCCACCCATTGAGGATAAAGTCTCGCAAAGGTGTAAATGTTTGGCCTTCCTCCGTGAAACGCCTTATGTCTTTCAAACGGTTTTCTGTCACTGCCAGATGCTGCACCAGGCTAACTGTCTCGATCACTTTTAGATGATGTTCGGCCACTGGCGGATGTGCTCTCGACAGGGTGTCCGTGATGAACATCTGTGTGCCAGGTGTGTACACAATGTCAATGTCATACCTTTGGAGCCGGATAAGCATACGCTGCAGACGGCGAGGAACGTTATTCAGTGGTTTAGTGGCTATCGACACCAGCGGCTTATGATCACTGTACACGGTTGTCTTTCTTCAAAAGTATAATCATTGAAGCGCTCCATGGCATAGACCACTGCCAGCATCTCTTTCTCGAGCTGTGCGTACCGCTTCTCGGTCTCTGTGAGTGCTGGACTGCGGAAATCCAATGGTCTTCCGTTCTGCAACAGAACAGCACCTATTCCATTCTGGCTACTATCACACTGTACCTCCAGTGGTTGTGCTGGATCGTAATATCAGAGTACGGGCGCATTACTGATAAGGTTCTTAATGGTTGCGAAAGCCAACTCCTGTTCCTTCCCCCAGCTCCAATTTATTCCTTTGTGAGTTAACTGCCTAAACGGAGGCATGACATCAGCGTGTCCTGGTAGGAACCGGCTTAAATAATTCACCATACCGTTTAGGCGATGGACTGCCTTCACATCGTTAGGGGGCGGCATCTCTTGTGTCGCCTTAATCTTCCCTGGGTCAACCCTGATTCCGTCGGATGTTAACACAGGACCATGGAAAATCACCTCCGCTTTCTGCAGCTCTAATTTCTCGCGTTTTAGCTTGATGTTCTTTTGCACGCAAAGCCTCAGGAACCGGTGTAGCTTAGTGTCATGCGCTTCTTCGGTCGAACCGTAAATCAGAAGTCATCTGCCACACAGGTTACGCCATCTAAATCATCTATTGTTTGCACCAAACGCTTTTGGAAAATTTCGCTAGACAACTTCAGGCCAAACGGTAATCGCAGCCAACGATAACGTCCGAACGGTGTTGCAAATGTGGTTAGGAAACTGGATTCGTCGTCTAGAACAACGTGCCAGAATGCGGAAGAAAGGTCTACTTTCGTGAAAAACTTAGCTTTTGTCAAACGTGGTAAAATATCTTCTAACGTCGGTAGCGCATACTGTTCTCTACGCAGGGCCTCATTCAGTGGCTTCGGGTCTATACATACGCGTAGTTCGCCATTTTTCTTCGTAATGACTGCGACCTGGCTAACCCAGTCTGTTGGCTCATCAACCTTTGCAATCACACCCTGCATAACCAGCTTGTTCAATTCCGCGGAAAATCGGTCACGTAGCGCAAATGGGACTCTCCTAGCAGGTAACGCAATCGGGCGTACCAAAGGATCTAACGACAGGTGAGCGGTACCCTCAAATTCCCCTAAACCCGGGCTAAACACAGACGGATACAGGTCACTAACATCGGCTTCACTCTGACAAGCGTACACAAAACGATCATGGTTAAAAATGACAAAGCCAAGAGATAAAATCGAATCAATGCCGAGAATCGGCGTGAGATCCTCATCCACGATCACGAACTGCAGACGATGCGAAACACCGTCTCTCGGATTGACCACTTCAATTGTCGCTGAGCCCTTTGGCTTGAGTCTGGAACCATTCCACATGCGCAAATAATCTTGATCCGATTGAATTTGCACGCCGCGGCAGTGCTTTCTGGGCAAAATATTGATCGTCGCGCCTGTGTCTAACTGGAATCGCACAGACCGTCCCTCGATCAGAAGACTTGCATAGACACACTTCTGCGACGCTTTCCGAGACACGTTACCAATCGATTGTTCGGTGTCTTCTGTTGATTTGTCTGGAACGAGTGCACTGACATCTGTCGACTGACAGCAGCGGGCGAAGTGATTGCGCTTCCCACATTTGACACAAATGCGGCCCCACGCCGGACACTGTTCGCAGTTCCTCGGATGTCGTGTTGCACAGAAGTTGCAGGGCTCCTGTCGCGCGGTCGTGGCTCTTGTAGGTTTGCTCCTGGAAACGGCGCACAACTCTGAATCACCTGTGATTGTCATCTGCTGGAACTGATAGGTAGTGGAGGACTCACTGTTACATACGTCGATACATTGCTGCAGAGATAGGTTGCGCTTTCGTAATAGTCGCTTCGTCAAACCTTCGTCACTGATCCCAAGAACAATGCGGTCCCGTATGAGACTGTCCGCCATGCATTTACAGAAACTGCAGGATCGGGCCTAAATCTTTAGCTCAGTGACGTGCGTGTCAACGGATTCACCTGGCCGCCTGTTCCGCGAAAAGAAAAGGTAGCGTTGAAATGTCTCGTTTGTTTGGCCTTTGCAGTATTCACTGAACTTCTCAAGAACTGTCTCCAGATTGTTGGCATCTTCGCTCTTGTTGTAACACAATGTCTCTAGCACGCGGCGCGCATCATCTCCTGCTGCGTGTCGAAACATGGCCAAGCGGTACGCCATCGGTTGTTTGTCCAGACACGATAAATTGCAGAAATCCATTCATTTGCTCTTCCACAAACGCCAGTTGCTTGCCAAACCGCGTTCATCCATGTTCAGCGAGGCAGGCATTTGTATAGCCGGTGCAGCTCCAATCATCGTCTGGGTGGTACTAATGTTCTTCTCCTTCTCTGACACCATGTAAAAGTCGGTCCTTCATGGACAAAACGTATATTCTGCAAACAAAAGGACCAGGCGAAAACGCAGGCAGCGGGCGAGTGAAACATATCGGTATATACAGCTAGTTGGATCTATAATTAACGGCCTTTGTGAATGCATGACATTTTTCCTTTGATTCAGTCAAACAAACTCACTCCAATGCGTCTAACTGTTGGCTAATCAGTGTGCATGCGAGAAACGTGTGAAAGTCCAATTTGCTGCCGCCTTTCCTTGCGGCAGCCTAACGGCTTCCTTGCTGGGCTGGCATCGCACGTTCATTCGAGGGTATATTCCCATCACAGCCTTATCTCCTGCATACAGCAGTCAGATAAACGAAAACATGCCACTTCTGTCGCAAGGGATTTCCATGTCAAACTAATCTACTGTAGCTCGTCAAAGCTGGGCCGAAGCGGCAGACGGTGGCAAAGCTGTAAACGTGCTATTCGTGGATATTTCAAAAGCTTTTGACACTGTTCCACATATTCGGCGCTCACTAAAGTTGAGATCTTACGGGATATCTGGTCGTCGCCTCCAATGGGTGTCTGCCTTCCTTGGGGGAACTGTGCGTACGGGTGGGGCGTAGCCGTTCGCTCAGGCAAGCTGTCCTTAGTGGCGTTCCGCAGGGCTCTGTTTTGGGGCCATTGTTGTTCGCGATCTATGTAAATGACTAGAAGGGGAGAGCTAGGGGTGTCATCACTAATGTTTGCTGACAACCATAAGCTCTGGAATATTGTGGATATCACAGGGGGTTCTGAGGCAATTCAGCATGCCTTGGATAGGCTCTAGGATTGGGCTACCTTGTGACTGATGCCCATAAATAGGGCCGTGCTCTGTTCTCCGAATCGGAGCGGCTAATCCTTCCACCCGATATGCTGTTGGCGGTGGTGAACTCCCTGTTGTCACTCAGCAGGTTGCTTTAGGAGGCGTACACGCATCAGCACTTCATTCTGGAGACAATTGGAAGAAGGCTACTTGTCGAGGCTTTCATATGATTTGGTTTAGCTGCCGCTCTTTCGGAATCTTCGAGGCCAATTTGTTTGTGAGGCTATTCTCAGCATTCGTCCGACCCCACCTGGAATATTATATTAAGGCTTGTCTACTATGTCTTAAAAGAGACAAAATGGACTTGGAGATGGTGTTCCGAGTGCGCACCCGGTAAGTGCTGGGTCTATGGGGACAGACGTATCCTATGCGCTTGCTCAGTTTGGAGATGTACTCAATGAATTACCGAAGGAAAGGAAGGTACTAGTTTCCCGCCTATGGTATTTTGAAGGGTAAGCTTGGCCCAGACTTATCAGGGTTATTTAGTCCCATTACGGTACCCAATCTCCGCGGTCACCCATTGAAACTGCATAAACCACGGTTTGATATTTTAGGACGGAAACTCACCTGTCGCGCCGAGTTATAGATCGTTGGAATTCGCATCCAGATCACGTGGTTAGGAAACCTACGGTTAAGGGTTCTGCGCGCCAGCTCGATGCTTCTGGGTGGCAACAGCGAACTTTTAATTTTTCCCAACTGACTAACCTTCAATTTTCAGTTATTTTATTTAATGACTCTAATATCTTAGTATTCTACGTGATTAGCTCTTTCCACTTTCCCTTTTGCCTAATGAGTTTACATTTTCCCTTTCTTACTTCACGTAACCGGCCCAGCAAGGACTGCTAGGGCAGAGAAGGTGGGCAGTAATTGGTTGGACAGGGTGGGATGCGGTATTTGTTTTAAGTCCATTCATATTTAAGTCTGCTAACTCCTGGTTCGAAGACCCGCCAAAGAAGGAGCATTCACGGGATAATCCTATCTTACCAGTTCCGCTTGAACTTGAACTTAAATATGCAAGCCTTGTCATGGTCAGATGCGCGTGAATAGGTACGACCCACTGAGAAAAAGCGACCAAAAGGGGTTTGCAGATAGCAATATGCAACAAAGATTTATCCACCACACATGCAAACACTGTTCTGTAAGTGCCCTTTCAAAGGAAAAACTAATAGGTCACATTATAATTTTAATGTACCGCCATCAAAAAAGGAACAAAAAAGTAACCACACGGTTTTAGTTCAGAGTTGAGATACCCACTAACCTTATAAAAAGAATTTTAAAAGTACCTTAATTGATGATTAAAGTAACTGGCCCATCGTTGTTTAAATGTTTATTAGCACAAACAGTTGGATCTGTTTCGTTTTCCATCTCGCTCTAGGATGTCTCGCGTTTACCTCGGGCACCTTCCTGCTCGCTGCAGAGAACGCGATATTGAAGACTTTTTTAAAGGGTACGGACGACTCAGAGACGTTGTTTTAAAAAACGGTTATGGATTCGTGGAATTCGATGACGAAAAGGATGCTGACGATGCCGTGTATGACCTCCATGGTCGTGAGTTGAGGGGTGAACGCATCATAGTTGAACATGCACGTCTGCCCCCTGGATCCCGAGGAGGTAGCAGGCGGACTGGCGGCCGCGACCGGTAAGCTAGTTCTATTTTTGTCTAAAAATCCTATTAGTCGCTACGGTCCACCGACACGAACTGAATACAGGGTTGTCATCGAGAACTTATCTTCGCGCGTTAGCTGGCAGGTAAGATTGATCGGTTCCCTTTTTTCTATTTGTGGAAGCAATAGACTAATCTGTTGTTATCTCGTATTCAGTGACCGAACGTTCGTTGGTTTCGGTTGGACTAGGACGCGTTTGAGTGGTCGATTTCCATTTCGTGGTCGCTTGAGGGTCGTTTTGGTCGCGCCGTGCAACGGTCGCTCGGCCCAGGTCGCTAACGGGGTTCGAGGCCTTGGCCAGTCCCAAACGCGAGGTAAATTACTCGCGCGTTTTTAAGGTGTAGGAGAAAGTGATGCGTTTAGGATTTATGTTGCTCTTAGGAACTTCACGCCGTAATTTGAGTCTTGCTTGTAGGACTTGAAGGACATGATGAGGAAAGCCGGTGATGTCACTTATGCGGATGCGCACAAATCCGCGCGTAACGATGGGTAAGTTTCTGTCTTTCATCATATACCTTTCACAGCATAGTTGAGTTTTCATCATATGCTGACATGAAGGAAGCCATTGAAAAGTTTGATGGATACGAGCTTTACGGCCGTCGACTGCGTGTTTACGAGGATCGTCCCAATCGACACTCAAGATCCGGTTCCCGAGGTCGCTCACGCTCTGATAGCATCGGAAGAAAGCGTGCTGCTCGCTCTAGAAGTCGCGAATCGTATCGTCGCCCGAAAGCACATTCCCCACGTAGACGACGAGAACGATCGGTCTCAAGTAAAAGGCGTCGCTCCGTTTCTCGGGATGGTCGTGATTCATCAAGAAGATCGAAGGAATTGTCAGTGGAGCATCGGTCTCGCAGTCCATCGCACCGTTCTGAGTCTCATCATTCCCGCAAACGCTCCGCTTCGCACCACACTGAGAAAAATTCACCGGTAAGTCCGTTTGCCTCTTTAAATAAATTACTTAGATGGCTGAGTCCCGCTCCCCAAGTCGTAACGGAACTGATGGCAGCATTAAAAACGAATCGGAAATAAGATCCCGCTCAAGGACTCGTTCGCGTTCGGCGTCAGCTTCGCGCTCAAGAAGCCGGTCTCGATCCGCTGATTCCCGCAGCCCTGACCGGTCACGTTCCGTCAGCCGCTCCCGCTCTGGATCTCGAAGAAGCGTATCCGCTGAAAGACATCAATCGGACGAAGAAGAAATGGACAGCAGTAGGAGAAGTGACGACGAAAGGGATGAAACCGGGCGTGAATCAGAAGACTAACGGATTCGCATTTTTCTCGCATTCATTTTATGAGCCCCGTGTTGTCAATCCATATTAATCTTCTTAGCCTTAGCTTGTGTCCTTTGCGTCGGGTAATGGCACTTATCTATGTATGCTATGGCCCTCCCATTCCTGTATTCTGTGCTTTGTACATTATTGCTAATCGCTGTCCATCGGGTTGCGATATTTTTGTAGTAGGTCGTGTGGCTATGGCACTTGACCTGAGAACGCCGGTCGTAGTCCATTGAGTGTAGTATCCATAATACGCCCACCATCAGCAGCAAACTTTTGTCTATTGGGCTAGCAATCTGAATAAGTCGAGACCAAGTGGTCGAACTTAACTGAGTGTTTTTACTTCTTGTCAATATCTGAGTTTTTCGTCGGATTAGGGTTCATTGTCTTATGAGTTGTAGAGAGCTGGAGGGAAATCTTTTGTCATCCCCATCGGTTCCGTATCATACTGGGTTTGATGCGTGTCGTTGCATTGCGACGTTCCTCAGGGGTTCGTCGCAATTGCAGTGACTGCCGCAAACTTCCAGCACTCAGCGAATTTTTGTCTAGCAGCCGCTTGAAACTTTCTTCGGATGGAGCGTCTTCAATTTCTTCGGGTAGGCTGTTCCAATCATTCACCACTCTAGTGGATAGGGTGACATTCATGCGAATTCTGTTTTCTTTGTTTAAACACTTTCCATGTATGACCTCGTGTGGAACAGTCAGTGTTGGGCCGGAAGAACTGCTGTAACAAACTCCCAAGTTCCCTTCGGAGGATGCGCCTAGTGTAGATGAGATCACCCCGGCGACGGCAAAGCTCGAGAGAGAACAGATTTAACTGATGGAGTCGAATCGTGTACGGAAGATCACGGAGCCGAAGAACAGCTTTCGTTGCACGTCTCTGAACCTTTTCCAGTAGAGCGCATTCAAACTTTAAAAGCGGATGGCTAGCAAGATGGCCATATTCCAAGACTACGGACGTATGAAGTGAACAAAAGTCGAAAAATCTCAGGAGTCATTCGAGCAAATAATCTTCTTAAAGCACCCACCAGTCTCCTTCCAATGGCCACCTTCTTCAACGTGTCCTGCGTCGTTCTAAGGTCAGGAGTCACGATAACCCCGAGATTTCGTGGGTGGTAATTCTGAGTAGAATCACGCCAACGTGGTATGCACCGTACCGTTCAGTGCTACTCATTGGGGGAACCGCATTTATCTCGGTTTACTGGCGCTTCCCACTTGATGGACCATTCGTGTAGCGGGTCTGGAGCTCCTTGTAATCTGTCCGCATTCTCAATGCTGGATCCTGTTGACCATAGCTTGAGGTCATCGGCGTAGATCAAGCAGTCGGTTTGAAGTGCAGTAGGCAGATCGTTGATGTACAATCTGAAGAGCTCCGGTCCAAGCACTGATCCTTGATGAATGCCACTAGTCATAAGCACTGGAGCAGAGAGCGTTTGGTTCACTTGTACGCGCATTGTCCTACCTCTTAAGAAATCGGCAATCCAGGAGAGAAGATTTCCTGTAATGCCAATTCCCTGGAGTTTATGTAGCAGGCGTACGTGTGGAACCTTATCAATGAATATTACGTCAATCTTTTTCCGGGCATCTATGGCTTCTGCCCATGTTTCCCTGTCGATGAGTAAGTTAGAGATGCATGAGCGTGCTCTCCGGAAGCCATGTTGAGCAGGTGAAATGAGGTTAAGATTCGCACAGTGTAGCTAAAGAACGCACTTGACTATTCGTTCCAAGGGTTTTGCACACGACTGAGGTCAGACATACTGGCAGGTAGTTAGCTGGGTCTTGTTGGTTTCCCCCCTTGTATTTGGGCAGGACGGTACTTGCTTTCCAGTCTGTGGGTAGGCAGCCGACTTCGAGGGATTGCCGAAACACTTGACAGAGAAGGGCAGCGACGTACTCAGCTATCGTTCTGAGGAAGCTGGGATGCAATCCATCCGGGCCTGGGGATGAGTTCGGGTCTAGTTCGAGGAGTAGCTTAGTGACTACTTCGGAGTTAATTTCAACTTGATCCAGTGTGCAGGCAAACAGTTATTGAGCAGTGGTGACTCCACTGAGTAGACCGAGGAATATTGCGCAGCCAGTAAGTTTGCTCTTTCAGCATCGCCGTAGAGAACCACGCCTTCCTTAGAAGAGGTTAGAACGGGGATTCCACTACCAGTTCTGGCATTTCGCTTCAAGTAGGCAAAAGGTTTCTTGGGACAGTTTTGGAATTCCATGGCCAGTCCATGTTCATATTGTAGTCTTTTGTTTCGTTTTCTCAGAGTACTCTAAGTAGCTTGCTGTCAATCCTGTGCTCTTGAAATGATCCCATAGTTTTCGTCGTTTTTTCATTAGGGATCTTACTTCTTTGTCAATCCATGGGAGTCCTTTGGATGGTGGTCTGCTCTTGCAGTTTGGAACGAACTGTTCAATGAGCCGCATCAGCATAGATCGCGGGCGTTCCCATGCGTCATCAAGCTCCAAGGATTGTGGAATACTTGCAGTAGTTCTTAATCTGGGCTGGTCAGTGCGCCAGAAATTTCGACGCAGTGTCCCCTGATCGTGGATTGTGAGACGTGTCCACGAAAAGGAGACTAGAGTGATCATTCTTCCCAAGAGGTTGAAGGATCGTTAGAT